CGAAACGAGCGGCGTAGAGGAATTAACGATGCGCACGATGGATACCCTGGAATATTACCCTTCTCATACGTAAATAGCGAAGCAGCTTCGACTGTTCACAGAAGAAGATAATACGTATCCTTTCAAACTTACTTTCACGTAATACAAAAATAATGATAATGAAAAGAATTATTTTAATCTAAATTTTTAAAGAAAATCGACGTGCTCGAATATATTAAAATACGTTTCAGGATCTTTAAAGATTCGATTTCGAATATGAGTCTGACTTCGGATAAGTTCGGTAATAATCGGACAAAATCGATTAGAGATCCGGCGATTATAAGAGAGCTTTGAACTGGAAACTGGAAACTCAGGATCTGAGGCAAATACGACGAGATCTCATCTAATTCCATTTTTTCCTTTTTTTTCTTTTTTTCAAGATTGGAATTTTAAACTTCCAAAGTTGTGAAACGATCCAGAGAATATTAAAATAAACTTGCAAATCATTTTAAACAATTTTTTTTCTTCCTTTGAACGGAAATCTGATCGATTTTGGTTTTCCATTTATTTACAAAAAATCTGTTATATCGAATTCTATCATCGATATGTTACGTAAGAGCAAAACGTAAGATTCAAAAGCAATTTTGTTAATCGTAATTTTACATCCTCTTCTCGTTCGAACAAGTGCTCTCTTTATACAGTTTAGTATAGTTTGCAATCGTGTATTTTCACTCATAAAAATTATGGCTCACGAATAGGCACACACGAGAAGCGCATAAAGATACGGAATCGATCGAGCAACGGACGGAACGAAATTTTTCGTAGAAATATTCGCGACTCGTTCGAGAGACAAGATGAGCAAGGAGAGCAACGCGAGGAGAGGTAATGGCAAAAATGAATGCAAACAGGAGCACAAATAGGAATAGCTCGTGGGGAGGGGGAGGATGTTGAAACGCGAGATCGGTTGACGTCGATAATTGAGGTGTCGATGCTTCTGACTGGTGGGAAGTGAGCGCTGTAGGCAACAGTGGTGAGCTAGCCATTGGCAGCCTGCCAGCTACTCCTCCTGCCGTCGATGCCTTCGGTGTTGACCGACAAACAAAAGGGACCTCGATGCATTGTCCTCAACGAGGGCGAATGCAGGTCGAGTATCCATCGAGCGCAACGATCGGCTCCCCGTTCTCGACCGATATTGCATTCCGTAAAGGACGATCGGCATGCTTGCCGCTGTTCGTTCAATGCCCTCCTTCATAACGAATTTCGTTTCGCCTCAATGCACCCGTTTTCCCACGCGTTCGTCACGTTTCCGCGCGTAATAAGTGGAGAAAAGGAAAGGGATCTCGTCTCGCCTCCTCGAACGGTTATAAGTAGATTGCCATCTCCATTTTTATGCGGGCAACGGGTGTTTAAATATTAAGCTGTGTTAAATGCGCAGCTACACGTACGTACGTTATGCGTTGATATATTTATGGGACACGTGTTTGATCGATTCCAGGAAGAGGCTTGGAACAAACGTAAAAAATTATCGATATTTATCGTGTTACGAGTAGTTTGAAGTTTGCTACGAGACCAGTGTTTCTCAATATTTTTTCATTGAAGATTTTTAAGATTTTAGCAAGAAAGTTGGGGTTTGTGTGCAAGGAATCTTACATCTTAGATCTTTATCTCCCTTTGACAAAGGCGAAGCACTAAAATAATTATAGTATGCTTTCAGCTTTTTTTCTCGTACGTTTTGAAGTCGTGTATCAAGCGTGATGAGGGAAATATGTAAATTTTGAGAATTTTTAATCGCTCCCTCTTCTTCCCCCTCCTTCCACGACGAGAATCGATACGTCGTTAGACGAGGCGAGTTTATATCTGAAAATTTGTATAGAGTAAAATAAGAATATCCATCGAGAAGGTCCATTTCGTCGTTGATGAATGAAGATCAAGGGATGGATAGATAAGGATGGGAATGAAAAAGAAGTATTATTATTCCTGAACAAAATACCGACCATAGAACTCAACAAAAAAAGCAATGCATATTTTACGGGACAACACTAGATATTTTTCGTCCAAACGTTTCATTATTAAATAAAAATTATTTTTATTTCGTAACACTTCGCTAATAAAAATAAATCTCTCGTAAGACAGATTTCATTCATATATCGCATCTGACATAGATATCTACAGAGTCTATAGTCGCTGAATGATTAAAAATGGACGATGCCATTTGTAGATGTAAGCGTAAGTTTCGAGCCAAGCAAAAATAAACAGGATCGGTTGAAAAGAATCGAGGGCGGCCCGAAAGACAATTGATTGACAGGAGCACGGAATTGCAATCGGGGGGATAATGCTGTGCGAATGGAGCGTTCCTTCGTTAACCTTTTCACCTATCGTCTCCATTCGATTTAACGAATGGAAAAAAAAATCAATTAACTGGAGAAACAAGATGAGCTGAATGTCAAAGTTTCAGGAAGGTTCGTGAACTATGAACTAATCGCAAGAAAATACGAAATGTACAAGATCGATAAAGCGTTCCAGATTTTCTCGTCAAAACAGTTGCATAATTTGTTTTGGAACACCGAGTTCATATTTGTTTTCTTCATCAGAAATAAAAATGAAAAAAAAAAAAAAAAAGTAAACTATCACACGGTGCAAAATAATACGTGAGAATGCGGTTGCCACGGGATAACAGTTTCATATTGTTGTTTATTAATTAAAAAAAGATCTACCGTTTGCTTTTCAATGATAACACATTGCGGTTAAAATGTAAAGAAAATCCTGTCCGACCAAATATTTTATTATTTTATTAATTTTCTGTTTTTATCAGCCTGGATAATATTCCGTAAATTTTTACGAAAGTAAAATTTTTTAATAAAAACAGTGTTCGGTATGAAATATCTTATCTTTATATTAATCATCGATTGTCCAACAGACTTGTGAAAATGATTGTTGTTGAAATGTTGTAAAACGAATATTTTTAGGGATAAAAAGAAATTGATAAAAATGTGACCAAGCAAAATCAATGTATTAAAATTTCTAGCAAGCTGTAAATTATTTTATTCGGTTGAAATTTTCGAAATTTGAAGGAAATTTTGATTCCTTTTCAGATTTGAATAGCGTTTGAAGCGCGATTCTAATTCAACGACCAGCAGGACGGGAACGACGACGGTGACGGCGACACCGACGACGGCGGTTATTCTCCTCCGTTCGGTGAGTGGATAGATCCTTTTGACAGTTTGATCGATTATATGAACACATATTTGTCCAATTTATAAGCTTACCAAGTATTTTCTAATCGAATAATGCTAGGTGGACTTATTATTATTCGTTCTCCGTTCTTTTTTTTTTACGAAAAAAATTTCCTTTCGAGAAAAATTTACATTGTTGTCGAATTACGTAGATATAATATTTTCATTCAATTCTAGGTGAATTTATTATTATTCGTCCTCTGTTTTTTTTTTTCTTTACGATAAGGAAAAAAATTTTCTTTCGAGAAAAATTTACATTGTCGATGAATTTATTATTATTCGTCCTCTGTTCTTTTTTTTTTTTACGATAAGGAAAAGAATTTACATTGTCGTCGAATTATTATTATACGAATATTTAACGAATATTCGATTTTCTATTTGTGATAATATAAATTTTAAGGGATTGTCGAAACACTATGTGAACATGCAATTTCATCTAATGGTATCAATTATTTTTCTTCTAGCCAAGAAAAAATGAAAAGGAAAAGATTATTTTTCTTTTAGCTGTCTTCCCTGCTAAAAGAATGTTTCCATTAGTCCTTTCGACTATTCCTCTTAACGAGCTTCTTAACTGTTTCTACACTTTTCTCCCGCGAAAAAATTCATTTGTCACAATTTGTTATATACATCAATGTCGAACCGCCATAGATAGATAGATTATTTACTTCTCATACAAGTCTCACAGCGTTTATAAGAAACGAGGAATGGAAGAAAGGTCTTTGAATGTGGTGCACGACGAATATATAGGTCAAGCATCGCGAGAATATCTTGATAGCGGCGAATATTACTTCTATGATGATAAATCTTTTTTTTTCTTCTTCTTTGTCTCTCTCTCTCTCTCTCTCTCTCTCTCTCTCTCTCTCGTCGACACTACAACGAACGAACGACGTTCTTCTTCTTCTTCTTCTTCTTC